GTGTTTATATTTAGTGTGTGTAACGACCCATGAAATTTTGGCACCGTTGCCGGGGACTTCTGGCGAAATTAATTAATTTAAAGTTATATTCTTATTTTAATTTATAATTTAGGATTTTATTTATTTTTATTCTTGGTTTACTACTCTCTCTCTCTTACTAGTGTCTACTTGTGTAGGATTCTCGCGTGTCTACACAGCAAGTAAACAGCCCGCAAGCCCTGAAGATGACTTTCTTTGGAAGTGCCTTTCTTGGCCCTGAGTTTTCAATGCATGAGGATTATTTGAAAAATATGTCGGCTTATTTTAAATGGAAAGAATCACAACCTCCATTTAAACTCACTCTTCTCAAAAGAAAAATATCAAATTTTACTCAGGAAGAGGGAGAGTTATTTTGTCATTGTTGGGAACGATACAAGAGCTATGTAGATGCTTGTCCACAGCATGGCTACAAAATGACTCAACTCATTACTTTCTTTTACAATGGGTTGAACTCTTAAACAAGTCAATTTGTAGACACAATGTGGGCAACTGAATATTTTGAGATGTTCCCAGCTGAGGTGTGGATTTCTTTTGACCAACTCATTCAAGACTTTCATAAGAGTGCATGCTGTGAGATTTTTTAAAAAGAGCTGCAAATTGAACCTAGTGAAGCCACCACACATCTCTCCAATGATCCAACAACTGATATGGGGTTGGTATTTTTGTCACCTGAGCCTACAGTTGCACCCATAGATATGACAGAAACTCTGCCCATAGTTTTGGCCTCTTATGTGGAAGAAATTGAAAGGGATTTAACTGTAGAAACTTATAATGATAAAGTAAACCAACATGGATGGGATTTTATTTTTGGTTTTGATCTTAGTGTGTCCACCCATTGTAGACTGCCCGAACTCCGCTCCGCGCGCGAGGGCGCGAATCGTGATTCTTAGCTACTACAGTTCGGACTCATGTCACGGTTCTGAATCTAATCTCACAAAGTGCAATATGAGACTGATAAATCACCAAAGAGTCCAAATCCAGCAAATCGTTTTGGAAAATAGATTTTAATCAAAAAGCGCCAAACATGGACTGCTTTGCCAGATTTCAGAGTCGCCACCTAAATATTTTATCTTTGAGAAATTTAGGAAACCCTGATCAAAGATCGGCCTCTACTAAACATGATATGTTGTTTTAAAAACACATGTGTTTTTATTCCGATTTATTAGCTAGCTTACTATATGATGCGCACAGCATACAAGTATAGACTCAATCACGCGGATTGGAACAAAACAACTCATGTTTATTTTTTAAAGTGGTTTGAAAGTATTATTCGCAAGTAGGCTAAGACGCGGATTTACCACCCTCAAGTAGGCTTAGAAAACATGATTTTGCCACTTCAAGTGGGCTTAAAACTCACAATCATCGAGTTATTCCAATTCAAGCAATCAAACCTTCACCCACAGGCATTCAAGCAGTTATAGCAGTTAAGCACATAGCCTCATGGCAAGCATGCTAATATGGCAGTCACTCACACACATGCAATGATGCTAAAGCATAAACACTCACAGTGTACTCCGAGCCAAAACAGAAGCTATGTTAGAAATCATGCATGATCCTAGCTATGTCAAGAATGTCTAATGCAACACATGTAAAAAATGCAAGGCTATTCTAAGATGTCATGTGAATGCAACTTGATAACATATATTCAAATTGGTATTAAAATACAATGCAGTTTGTATGAGATGCATACAAAACAAATGAATGATGCAAACATGTAAGCATAATGATGCTAATTAAAAATGATCCTAAACTAACCATCGAAAGCTAGTAAGTAAAAGGGAGAAGGAAATTGGGGTTGGAAGACATGCATCACACACACGCACACTTATTACAACAGTTGTGCCCTCTCGACAGAGGGTCCGATAATAAGCTAACTAACTAATCTAAGCTAATTAAACTAATTATTATAAAACGCAACTAATTAACTAACAAGTTAACTAATTGCAAACACAAATGAATAGCTAAGTGCGTTAACTAATTAAGTACAAAACCAAATAGTTAACTAGCTAAGCAAAGCAATTAAAAGGAGTCTCGGGGTGAGAAGTGCATGCATGCTCGGTCGCCTCGTTCGGAAATCCATCACTATGTCCCAACTTGTCTCTGTTTGCAATTGTTCTCAGGACACTACACAAACCTCCAGATAGCTTCTACTCCAACATGGAGACTTCCAGGAAGGCTGTCGACCAGAAAATGGTGATGTAGACCACTTGCCGACCACTTAAGCTTGCAGACCAGAAAAAGTGGTCGGCCAGCTACTTTTTCTGGTCTGCCGACCAGAAAATCCTGTCAAGCTTTAATTTGCTGCAACAGAGAACAAAAAGGGGCACAGCAGTGTATTTGCAAGGTATGTGTGCACAACCACTCTCCCTATCATTTCTTAAGCTCAAGGGAGTGCGGTTCTCGACTCTCGGGCCACCAACCGAGCATCACAATGCACGATGGCTGAGAAGCCAAGATTGCACAATTCCATATCAATGAATACACAAATAACACATAAGGGCCTTAACCTCTATCATGCATGATCAAGAGGGTCGGCGACTAAGAAATGAGGCACGTTTCATCACTTCAAGTATGAAACATCCCTTGTTTCTCGTGTTTGGATTAACACTGTATCCAAACACAATGCAATGCAACATGATCGACCTAACAATGCTAATGGCATGCACAAGATTTCAACATATGAACAATGCATGCATGGCATGTTTAGGAGCTAAGGTATCAAGACAAGTGAAGTGTATCACACATGAAGCATGCAAGACAATGCACAAATGGCCAAACCAAACATGGACAGACCTGAGATACTTCAAAACAGTGGCCAAAACTCAACAAAACCTAGGCACAAAGAGCATGGAATGCACATTCAACTCATGGCTCGCAAGCAAGGCATAAAGGCACAACTCTTAGACGCAATTAAAGAGTGACATACATGCGAATATGGCAATGTCACATGCTCTGAAATGAAGTGTTAAATGATACCAAATCATCTAAACAACACAAATGAGGCATGCTAGGAGGCCTAGAGCATAAGGCTAGTTAAAAGCAATACACAAGGAGCATGCAATACTAAGCTTAAACCATTAAACCAACTCTGGATAGAGCTTAACCATGCCAAGTTAAGGGTTAAGAACATGCTGAAATGGAGCTCAAGAGCTTCGGCAAACATGCATACACATTGGCTCACAAACAATGCATGAAGACACAACTTTCAAACACATTGAAAGAGTGGAAAATGTGAGAGTGTGGCAATGAAATATGCTCTGAAATCATGTGAGAACTGAGGCTATACCATGCAAACATCACATTCCAAGCATGCTAGAGACTTTGAAACTCAAAGATAATGAGCAAGATTGCACCATGGCTATACAAAGTAAGGCATGCATGACCCAAAACACTTAAAACAGAGCTCAAGCATGGAAAAACATGGATAAAATCATGCTGGAGTGTAGTCAAAATAGGCTAGAATGATGGTCCAGAGTATAGAGCATGTTAGGCTAGCAATGTAGAATTACACTACAAGTGTATGAAGCACTCAAGAGACTACCAAACCAGCCAAAAACTGAGTCATATCAGGTCCAAAAAGTTACAAAAACAAGCTTAAACAAAGCCACAAAAGAATGTAAACACATGCTCATTTGATAGGCCCTCTATGCATGCAAACAAGACAAAAGGAGAGGGGACCACCCCCTCTCATTTTAGGCCTCAAAACCACATTTCTACCACTGAAAATCCACTGGAATTCAGTGGTTAAAAGGCCAAGAGAAGGTGATCTCAAAGGCTTAAAGAGATGGCTCAAAAACAAGGCAAAATAAGGCACAAAAGGGGGTAGACCACCCCCAACACTAAAGAGACCTCAAACAAACATTTTAAGCACTTGAAAATGAAGCTTTTTTTAGTTTAAAGTTAGGCCTAAAACATCATGAAAAGATGGCCAAATGTTTAAGCAAAACAAAGCTTAAAGAGGGAAAACACTCACCCTTGAAGACCAACTGGAAATGTAGAGACCCTAATTTTTTTGTAATTACACTTGAAACCCTGAGCCTTAGGTTAATAGCATTTTAGCCCTAGTTCCGTGAAAGTCTGCGTAAGGGCCCAAGTAAAGAATAATTTCTCCGTGTGTTACCATAATTAAATCATGGAACACCACTTTATGATTGGAACTATCCTAAAACTTGGTTTTATTTATTTTACCTCATAATTTCTAAATTAATTCACACATTTTATTTTTTTTTATTTTTTTTTTTTTGTTCTTTCATTTATTATTTATTTGAATGGAATACTATTGTTTATTTGAATATATACATAGTTTAAATATATATATAATATGTTGGTTGAAAAGTTGATTGGATAACAACAAACCAAAAATAAAAAAACAAATATCTAGATATTTAGTTCCCTTAGCCATTAAGCTACTCTTATACTCTATAAATTGAGAGCTTGTCCAAATCCATTCCTACGTTTTTCAACAGCCCAAGGAGAGGATGAGAGAGGGAGAGTTGGCTTCAAGGGAAGTAGAGAAGTAAGGAGAAGAAAGAAGAAAAAAAAGAAGAGAAAAAGAAGGAATTCTTGAAGGCAAGAACATACCTCTCCCTTATTTTCTCCAATCCTTTCCTCATCTCATTCTATTGTCTAGTATGCCTATTGTGTTACAAATTAATGGTAAATAGGTTTTGTTTGGTGTGTGTGAAGGTGTGGGTATGATATAGTGTCATTGTCTTGCAAATTTGTGAAATTAGGCACTGCTGCAACTTCTCTAATTTAAAAGAAATATCAAATCTATCTAATTCTCAAATCTGAATTTATTGTAGGATATTTTATGTGTTTAGAGCTTGTGACAATTTTATTAGCTCCTAATTGTGTGTTTTTAGGGCTTGGATAATTTGTTGAAAAATCTGGTCCTGAATCTCTGAAAAACAGTCCACTTCTAGAAATTTTATAAAATTCTAGAAAAATCATCTCATGTTGGTTCTTCTGTCAAAATTTAGAACTCTGAGTCCTCTTTCCAACAGATTTTATTTGAGTGAAAACCGTCGGGTAGATTGAGAGAAAAGCTAGTTTTCCCAAAGGGTGACAAATCTGGACAGGTTTTCAAATATAGCTTGTAGATGAATTTTTGGAGGGGCTGTGCAACTTCTGAAAATTGGAATTGAAACTAGACAGATTGAATACTGTTTCTGTGCAATTTTAGCCCCTAATTTGACCTAGAAGTATTTTTACTAAAGCGTTCTTGTTAGCCCTATAGAACCAAACAGTGCTGGAAATTGTGTTCTATTATGTTATTTGTTTCTAAGTGTTTCAAAGCATTTCTAATGTTGTTTTCTTGCCTTACTATACTTATGAATGATGATCATGGACTATATTTCCTCTCGTATGTTTTTCTCATACTCTTTTATATGACCGAATTATCGAATGTGACTAACTTACCTAGCAAAAGATCTAATAAACGAGAAATAATAAGGGACTGGCAATGGGTGACGTTCATCTTAGTGTTTTAGAACACTTTTATACATATGCATGACATGAATTATGATGAGATTAATACCAAATGAGTTAAGTCTTGTGTAAGCATTTTAAGCAAGCCCCTAGGTTGACACAAACGTATTCAGACTCTATGCGGTGGTTTCAGGGTATAAGCGAGCCCTTTGGTATGGTATATGCAGGGTGTAAGCGAGCCCTATGCATGATTTGGGGTGTAAGCGAGCCTACTTGTTTGGCCATCCCTTTTGAGGTCCATCGATATCGCTGACCGGTAAATAACCGGGAGGTGGGCATGGATGGTAAGGTTTGCAAAGCAGCAAAAGGAGGAGTTCTGAGTAGTCTAGTGTTTAATCTTGTGGTTAGGTAGAAGGATTTCTTTGGGGGGTTCTAGATGCCTAGTCTAACTACTAATTTATAAAACCTTAACGTAAGTATGTTATGTTTTCTGATCTGTTTTGTGTATGGTTGATTAATTGATAGAAGATATAGGGGTGTGTGTGGTTTTACTGGGCATTCCAAGCTCATGGCGTGTTATGCCAGGTGAAGAAGCAGCTTACGATGGGGAGAGTTATTCCGAAGACAATCAAGATGAAGTTTTAGAGCCGTGGTTCACTTGAAAATTTTGAACTAGTAGTTTGTTTTTGTTTTCTCTCTCCTTTTACCTTTTGGTTTGACAGTGTTTTGTAAACCTCTAGTGGAACTCAAATCAGTTATCTATGTTATAACTCTAGTTATATGTGTATATTAAACTATTGTGGTTATCGTTTTTGTTTGAGTTGTACTTTATATATTTCTCCTGTGGTCTCAAATTTGGGGCGTGACAGGAAAACAGCAAGCTCTGAGGCAAAAACCAGCTTAAACCCACTCAAATAAAGCTTCCAAGTACCTCAGCAACAAGAGGAAGGTATTTGAGTAGGTGTTTGTGTGCAAAGGTATGAAAAAGCAACACTTTAAGGCACAAATATATATATAGAGAGAGAGAGAGAGAAAGAGAGTAAACTTTTGCTCTTCAAGTTTCTCAACCTGGAAAAGGGAGAGAGAGCCTCCCTCTTATAGAACTCCAAGCTTCAAGCTTCTTGGAGAATCTAGAAGCTTGGTGCAATCCCTCCATATATGGAGGATGCAATCTGTGCTCTCCAGCTGGCACAGCTGGCATCCACAATATCTGCAGAAAATGCAAGAAAGCTGCCGACCACTTGAAGTGGTTAGCCAGCTACTTACACTGGTCGACCGACCAGGAAAAGTGGTCTGCAAGGAGACCAACTGGTCGGCAAGGGGGAGAATTGGTCTGCACAATGAAAGCAAGGTGGTGGCATGGCTGCTGACCACTTTTGGTGGTCCAAAGACCACCAAGACCAGCTGGCCGACCAGAAAACTGGTTGGCAGGGAAGAAAAGTGGTTTTCAGGGAGAGAAACTGGTCTACAACCCGTATTCCACCCTCCAAGAAAGGAAAACAAGGTTAGTGCCAAAAACAAACCAAAAAGGATGCAAGACAAGAGTCCGCGGGTCAAGGCACGCAGCTGAAAACCTCGAAAACTAGTCTATGGGCACCAAAAGTAGTCTACGAGAGGGAAAAGTGGTCTACAAGACCTTTGTGTCCCTCTAGACCAAGGCAACAAGGCATGGTCCAAAAACCAAGCCAAGAGGAGAACGTTAAGCGGTCCCGAGTCAAGGCGCGCAACCGAAGACTCCGGAAACCGGAAACTAGCCTACAGGAGAGAAAAGTGGTCTACGACCACAAAAAGTGATCTACAGACCCCTCTCTCCCTCCAGGCAAGGTCAACAAGGCATGGTCTACGAACCAAGCCAAAACACAAAGAGTTTAGAGGCCCGGAGGCAAGGCACTCAGTCGAAAACTTCGGAAACTCGAAACGAGCACAAACAAGCACAATCATCGAGCACTCAAACGATGACGTCTGAGTCTTAAGGTCGATCAAAAATGGGGTGTCTACACCCATGAGATTACTTTACACACTATACTTTTCACACACATATTTCTCCACTCTGTGAATCATTTTCCCACAAGTCATTTACAACCTAGTCTTGCACTATTGGACGGGTTGATTTATTTTCGTTACAAGGACCCATATCTTATAAATTGGAAGAAAAGACGAAAATAAGTTTGTATTGATATTTGGTTGAAGATAATAAATTTAGCTCTTCTCGGAAGGAAACCTGAGCATTTTAGTTTTATTTATTTATTTATTATTGTGTGTTTTCAGTGTGGTGTGTCAAAAAAAAATAAAAAAAGAGTGTGCGTGTGTTTGGTATGTCCTTGCCTCGCTGGATGTACCCTTACGCCGTTTGGTAAGATCCTCTCTCTCTTTCATTTTACTATCCACTTTCCACTTGCTTACATTGAGGACAATGTTGTATTCTAGTTGGGGGTGAAGGTTTTTGTAAAAATAATTCATATTTGTATTTGTTGCACTTGATTGCACCATTTCACTTGATTTTCACTTTGTGCCAGTATGGTAGTGATTTGAGCATATGTTAATTGGAGAACATAGTAGACTTATATGAAAAGGGTTTATTGGTAGATACTCGCATGTGATGTTTGCACTAGGAGAGTTATTTGTATTTGTAGTATTAGTACACTTATCATGAGTATGCCTCGATTCACATGAATACACTTTCATAGCAGTGACCTCTCTATTATAATCCCTAGTGTACATCATTGATAATTGCTAGTGTTGCAGAAAAAAATAAATGAGTAGCCAAGATTCTTTAAAAAAAAAAACACTTGACTTGTTTGGGTTCGTAGCCTCTTTAACTCAAGTTATTAAACCCGTAAGGGTGTCTTTACACTTAGTGCCCTAAAACCGTCTGGTTTGGGAGTCATTGGCCCAATACTTGCTACATGGGTTAATTAGAAAGCTTAAGGGACCTAGACATTGCACAGTTAAGGAAAAATAAGGAGAATAACTTATTCAGATTCGTAACCTTTTTAGCTAGAGTTATTAACCCCGTAGGGGTGTCTTCACACCTAGTGTCCTAAAACCGTCTGGTTTGGGAGTCATTGGCTCAATGCTTGTTACATGGGTTGATTAGAAAGCCTAATGACTCAAGACATTGCACAGTATTTCCAAAAAAAAAAAATTAAGAATCTTGGTTGCAACAGTTTAGTCTTTCTGTATATGTTAGGTGTTATTGTGAGTTACATTAGCAATTATAGTGGACAGTTAACCAGTTATGAGAAATGCACTTTACACCATGGGCACTTATGATGGGTTTACTAGCATTCACAAGTGCAGGGGACTTAACATTTATATTAATTGAATTGTGGTTTTGACTCAATAGATTCCTTCATGCTTGTCCATTGTGCCTTCAATGACTCGTCATATTTTAATATCACACTGTAGTGGCACATAAGTTGATTGTTAGATGGAATGGTGTGGTTAATTGTTGTTGAACAGATATGAATATGTTGATGATTGTGAGTATCATTTCTGGAAACCCTCACGAGACTATACTCGTCTACCTGGGATAACCTTATGGTTGAAAGGCTTGTTGCATATGCTAAATGTAATCGTGATTCCTATGAAAGTGGCTTAGAGTTATTTTACTTCTCTTATTTGTTTTGTTTTGCTCGAGGACTAACAAAATGTAAGTTGGGGGATGTAATGTGGGCCGAAAGGTACCACATTAAGGTCGTTTAAGTTACATTTATAGTCTTTCAATTTTGTTTAATTGGTGGAGATGATGTGTTTTGTGCACTTGTACAGATTTAGCAGGAAATATATAAATTCAATCAAAAAAGGGACACGAAAGCAAATTCTCTGTGCGAGAAGTGAAAAAGCCGAGCCAGCCATCTCATCGCACGTTCGGCCGAGCTTCACCGTACGTGCGGCCCACCACTACTCGAGCGGCCCACATGGGCGTTCAAGTAGCCCATCTAGGGATGCGTGCAATAAATTTTAATGCTCTTTTGCTGGGAATAAAAAGAAAAATAGTGGACTGAAAGGGGGTTCGAAAAATGTTCTAAGAAAATGAGAGACTAGGGTTTGAAAATGAGATTTTTCCTCAAGCTTAAAGGACAACTTCCATGGGGGCTTCTTCCTCATCATCTTCCCACTCTTCCATAAGTGGCTAGTCTTCTTTTCTAGGATTTTGATGAAATCCTAGCCCTGTAATAAGATTTTTTATAAGCTTTGATTGTGAATCGGTTTGAATCAATGTATGGATGATTTAGAAGTTTTTAATCATTGTTCTTTTCATCTCTTTCAGTATTTTACTCTGTGATTGTTTAATGCTTTCCATACATTAGTTTTCTTTATATTTGTATTCAAAGTACGAGACGAGTCATGTTACGAGAGACGGGTCGTGTTGCTACCGTAATTTAGAGCAAACGCCTCGTACTACTTGGAATGATTTGTGCCTGTACGTTGAATGCAACAACCCTCTTGATCAATATTTCGAGCTTGTAGTTGTGAAATATTGGATATTTCAAACTGGATTGCAATTATTGGCTGATATTTAATATCGTTTATATAGTTAGTGATGAATTCTTTGCCCTAGAATTTTTTTTCAAAAATCAATTTCTCAAATTTTAATTTTAATTGTCAATTTAATTTCTCAATTTTATTTAATTCCTGTTTAATCATAACATCTCTCAAACCCCAATGTTATTTTTCAAATATATACATAAATAGGATATATATATATATATATATATTAAAGGTACTACCTCAACAATAGGCAAAATTTGCTCTAACTCATTTGGCATCACTCTACTTTTGCTTGCACAGCTTAATACCACCCAATCATGTCATAGCATCATGTATTGTTAGGCATCACTCTACTTTTGCTTGCACAGCTTAATACCACCCAATCATGTCATCGCATCATGTATGGTTGGAGGTTCTCATGGTTTGTGCATGGCTGTGATACACATGGATAGATTCCCCTAGGGTTCAAAAAATATCCAGAAGACGGCACCAAGAAAATTCTGCAATGGTAGATAGCTCAAATTTTCTTAATTCGAATGGCTCAAAACGACATCACTCTACTTTTGCTTGCACAGCTTAATACCACCCAATCATGTCATCGCATCATGTATGGTTGGAGGTTCTCATGGTTTGTGCATGGCTGTGATACACATGGATAGATTCCCCTAGGGTTCAAAAAATATCCAGAAGACGGCACCAAGAAAATTCTACAATGGTAGATAGCTCAAATTTTCTTAATTCAAACTCAAAACGACATCATTTTGAACTTAAAACAATGTCGTTTTGACACATTTAAGCCACTTAAGCCACACAAATTCGGACCACCGATCATTTTTTAGGAAAATTATATAGCATTACCCAAAAGACTGCAAATGATCATAAGTCAATCCTTCTAGATATGCACACAACTGATCCACAAAAGTAATTTACTTCGCTTGCATCTTGCAACACTATACATAATTTGCTCATATAGAGGTCTTCAACTACATACCACTGTGTACACTAAATACCCCAAAGTCAAGTATGGTTTTTACCTATATATTAGTGTTCTCAACACAATTCTAGCAACAAAAGTGCACAAAAGCAATTCAGCTGTTTTTCAGAAACAAGTTTCAGTCCGATTCTCACTCACAGCTGGTGATCAAGACCCAACAAAGTGTTCTGCAACCATGCTGATCTCACAACACTCAAACGTTGAAGCTCTTGCAAAATGTTTATGTAACCGTTCAAGTCTCTTCCCCGCACTTCTGTATATCTACGAAAACCAAGCTTCAGTGCTTCATGAGCAGAATTATACACATCGCAATCAGTTCTTCCAAATGTTTCCAAGATATGGTTGAAGTACTCATGGAAGATCCTGAAGCATTCATTTCTGACATCAACTGGGCTGTCATTCATATATGTCGTGAAATTTGTTTGAGGAAGTCTGGATTCAAAAGAAATTGGCTGTTGCAGTGTTTGAATTGGCGTATCTTGAAGATATCGAGGTGTTCCAACGTACCCCGTGATGTTATTCATACATGCTGTGAAATTTGTTTGATGCAGTCTGAATTCAAAAGGAATTGGCGGTTGTAGTGTTTGAATAGGAGTATCTTGAAGAAGTTGAAATTTTTGGTGAGACGTATCCAAGTTCCTCCGAGCTTTCAGTATTTTCTTAGCAGTCGGTGAGAATCTGAATTTGAAGGTACTGCACTCTCCTAAAGGGAAGGGCTCATCACATCTCAAACCAGCACCCCTCTTATTGTTGTAACCGGGGTAGTCCTCTATTTTAAAATCAACAAGGTCAATTAAAGCCAAAGAATTTTGAGCTGCGAGTTCCTCAAGATTCCAGTGGCTAAATGGAGGTGTGGTTTTGTGGTTTACATGGATTTCGCCATCAGCACGTAGCATGCCACTTGCATTCCTGAAGAATTCATGCACAAGACATCTATGCATCCTGTATATTGCATAAAACAGGTAATGAAAACGTACAAAATAAGGGAACCCAGAAAAAAATTAAATCAACATTAAAGAAAGAAAAACAATAAGCCTAATGATACATAAGCAAATTCAATGTTTTGAAATGCATATACTAATTTTTTGTGGATAAATTGAGGATACTTAATGAAATGCCAAACAAAAACAAGTGTGCATCAAGGGTTCATATGCTCTATGACCCATGTCCATATTCATTTTGTTGCATGCTGGAAATCTTGTATTATTGTGAGAAAGTAAGATGCATTAATGTCCTTGTTAATAAATTGTTCGACACAGATGGAAACAACAGGATTCAGTTTCTGTAAGGTTCAAATGTCTTCCCAGTTCCATAAATTGTATTACCATGGGATGGGCAATTGAGATTAGTCACCCAAGCCCCCAACACTTCAAATTTGGCATATGATAATTAATACAAAAAAGAACCACATCGTTATCCATAATGTCATAAATGCGAATGGACATATGGACGTGCAAACATGCAGTTTTTTTCTTTTTATGTGACTAAATACGGAGTTATAGTAGATGAAGTTACAAACCCAAAGTAGAAAAGCATGCATTCACAAAATTGCAACGCAGATAAAACAATACTTTTGGATAACATTCAAATCATGGAAGTGTCACCAAGTAGTAGAATGGTACTTTCACCGTATCAGATGCTTAAAATTGTCAGCACATGCTCAAACCACAGGCATGTCCATAATCAAAAAGTTCATTTAATTACATTGCATGGAAAACAAGAAAAAAAATAATGACTATGCTGAGTATTGATAACAACACGTGAGGAAGATTACATAGGCAAGCTTAATACACATAGACAGATGTGTTTATCATACTTGATAAAGAACGATTGAGGAAATATAAAAGAATTCACAAGAAAGCCACTCACTTGATGAGATGGACCATGTCTTCTTTTCCATGGAAGCCTGCATGAGGAAAGTTAAAAATAATCCGATCAAACTTCCGCATTCGGAGATCGGTATGAAGCTTCATTTTGGTTGCATCGACTCCATGTAAAATGGATGCTCCCCACAACTCCAATTTTTCCAAATTTGACTTCGCTTGCTTGTACTTCTTGATCAATGTATCTAGTTAAAGAGATAAATAAAGAATAAAAATGCCAAGAAGAAAATATCAATACCGAGAGACCAAAATATATAAAGAATATGAACAAATGTACTCAACTTGAGAAAGGCTAAAATCAGTAGCACACGAATCAACATCAGATGATGAAGTGGATATCTTCCCAACATAAGTCATCTAATTGATACAAAATTTAAAACTAGTCAGCTTCCATGATGATAAAAAATATTTTGAATTTAAGGCATGACATACTAGGGCCTCCATTCAATTGAATATGATATGACCCATATGAGTAAGGGGCAAGTCCTTTTCTAATTTTCTGGAAATTAAAACAACACCAAACATGAGAATCAAAGCCATCCTTTTCAGAAGGATGGAAAAACGGGTGAGGGAAAAAAAAATAAAGCCAAAGAAATGGGGTATGAGTTTTGGAGAATGAAACCTAAGCTAATTGTTAGTGGCTTATCCATTAGGCAAGTGACTCTGCTGCCTAAGGCCTCGTATAGAGAGAGCCTCATATTTTTATTTGTTTTAAGTAGCTTTTATTCTTAACAAATCTCTTTACAAATATATGATTCCAAAGGCAAGAAACATAAGCTTTGAATAATAATAAAAATATGATGAAAACTAAAGAAGCCCATTTAGATTTTTGCCTTGGGCCTAAAAAGAGTGGATTATCTGATGGTGTTTTCATTGCCTTGGGCCAGGATGTATGTCTCTGGAAGCTTAGAAGAAGAAAGAATTATAGGCTAGGATGGAGATCTTCTACTCTCTTCACACTGTGTGCTCTCCCAGATGGGTTGAGTATCAGAATATGCGAGATATCTACACCTGATCATCCTCTATATTGAGCTATCCTTAAGATCTTTTTCCCATCAAAACATGAAAAAAAAAAAAACCTAACAGATGTGATATTAGATCACCGCTACGCCTGAACAGAACAAACAATAACCAATTTGACTTTTCCACAAAACAAAATCAATTGGCATATTGACCAACATTAGGGAAAATTCAAACAAAAAAATACCTACACAGTTACTACAGTACATGAAACAAGAAGTATTGTATATCACATTTTTGAGAAATGTTAGTTGACAGAAGAATCACCATAGCCATTACAGAAGAGAAAAGTAGCATAAACACACACATACAACTATACAAATATCTGACGGGTTTTGCCATAATACATTCTTATAAGCGAAAGATCTACTCACTGATCAGAGACGTTAGTCAACTTCTCAGACAATCATCATCATCATAAATTAAAATCTTGAATTTGAAACATGAGATATAATAATAAGGCCTCCATTCAATTGAATATATAATACCCATTCCTAATTTTCTGGAAAAATAAATAAATAAAACCAACACACAAACAAACCTGAGAATCAAAAACCCTTTGAGAAGCAAAATAAAAGAAAGCCAATGAAATGGGTAATAAAAAACCAACATTAAATGAAACAAGGAATGTATCAATTTCTCTGAAAACGAATCACGATTTCCATCACAGAGGAGAAAAACATACATATATATATATATATATATATATATTATGGGTTGGGTTTTTTTCCATTTACATTAAAGAAAACCCTAGTGGAAACTCCAAGAAAACGATACAAGAATCGCATATCCGTACGTACCGATGAGAGAGAGAGAGAGGGTTACCATAGGAGTCGAGAGAAGAAGCGAGGATGTTAGAAGCAGAGCGAAAAGAGTGAGCCAAAGAGAGAGAGAAAGAGAAATCTCCATCACCAACTACAAGTATCTGATGAGAGGATTTGTAATGCTTTACCCATATCTCACTTTCTTCATCTACTTCTTTGACCACTACCACCTCTGCTTTTTCCATTAATGGCTTTTCCGTATCGCACACGCACTCACTCTCTCTCTCTCTCTCTCTCTCTCTACTCCGCACAAAAAAAGATAGGGAAGAGTTGCAGAGACGAGAGAGAGAGAAAGTACACGCTCGTTATATTGCAGATTTGCGAGTATTAATAAGAAAACGACAAATTCAAATTTGACAGAATGCCCACCCAAGTCTCGTGAGAATAACAGCTGTGCCACTATTACCAAACGTTTGGTGTCTGTGACGAAATGGGATTTTAAAAGGGTAGTTTGGGAAATATCGGATTTTACTGCGCCGAGGAGAAGCGTACGTAAGAAGTTGCTAAGGAAGAATTATTTGGTGCTCCTATGCGTCACCCATTGCTCCTCAGGTGTTTTGGGAAGTTACTTAAAAATTGATTTTTTAAATTTTTTTTTTTTTTTTTTTTGTGTTTTTATGAATAAAAAATATGAGAGATAGTGATTAAACGTTTTAACCAGCTTTTCAAATAAGCTCAATATATTATAGGCCTTCGTTTGGGAAGTGGGTTGATTTTTTAGTTTTTTTGGCTTTTTTGACTATTTTAACCTGGGGTTAAAAAGTCTGATTTGAGAAGAATTTTTTGAATTTTTTGACTTTTTAGCTTTTTAGTGAGGTGTCTTCCTATTCATTTACCAAAGTGCCCTTGTTGTTCTTGTTGTTGTTTTTTTTTTTTTTTTTTCTTAATTCTTCCGTTTGGATTTGGCTTTTTTTTGCTAACTTTTTTTTTTTTTTTTGATTTTTGGGTTTAGATTGGCGTATTTTGCTTAAATTTTTTCTTATTTGGGGTTTTATTTTGGCGTATTTTGGTAAAATATTTATTTTTTTATTTTGGGTTTGGATTTGCCATATTTTGCTTTATTTTTATTTTTTTTTAAATTTATGTTTTTGTCATTTTTATTTTTTTATACATTAATTAGTTCTTGTTTTTTAATTTACGTTTTTTGTCTTATTTATTTTTATTGTATACAATAACATTTTTTTTATTTATGTGTTTCATTTATTTGTAAATTACGTGGCGATGGTAATTTATGTTTTTATGTTTTTTTTTATATATTTTTGAATTGAGGCGTATTTTTCTCGTTATTTTTTTTTTAATTTACGTTTTTGTCATTTTTAATTCGTACACATTAATTTGTTTTTATATTTTCAAAAAGGGTTTTTCATGTGCTTTATTTATTTATAAATTAAATGGCAAATGGTAATTCTTTTTTTTTTTTATCTTTTGGATGAGGCGTATTTTTATCGTTCGTTTTTTTTTTTCAATTTACGTTTTTGTAATTTTTTAATTCGCACTAAATATTTTTTAATGAGCTTTCATTTTATTTAAAAATTTATGTATTTTAAGTTTTTTTTTGCAAATGGTTTTTTCATGTGTTTTATTTTTATTTTTATTTTATTTTATTTTTCTGTGAAATGATAAAAAGTGAGGTTTTATTTTAGTATATGTGTAATTTAATAATTTAATTTTAATTTAATTAATTTAATTTTAATATTTAATTTTAATTTTATTTTATTATTATTTTTTATTTTTATTTTATTTTTATTTTTATTGTAATTTATTTTATATTTAAATAATGTAAATAATACTAAAATATTTAATAAGCAAAAATTTAAAATAAATATATTCCAAAAATTAAAGCGTGAAAAATTTAAATAATTTAAATATTCAAAAAATTATTTTAACAAAAAAATTTAAATAATTTAAAATGTTAATATTTTAAATTTAAAAACAACTCTACACTCAAATGCTAACCAAACACATAAATAAAACTCAATTAATAAATATTTTTAATACTCATAACCAAATACATAAATTGAAACCCTATACTACTTTCAGAAGTCTAACACTGAAATTATAACCAATACATAACAAAAAATTAAAATATTTAAAACTTTTTTTTTTTGGATGAGCCGTATTTTTGTTCATTCTTTTTTTAAATTTTCCCTACACACTAATTTATACAATTCGTTCAAACATCATTTTTTCATAAAAAATCAAAAAGTTAACCCAAATATTCATTTTTTTTTTTTCAATTTTGTATTCAAAAAAGATAAAAAGTATACTTATTTAGGACACCCTAAACAATCTCTTAATATAATATTTTATTTTATTGAATTAAAAGTTTTATTTTTATTCTTTTATGATTATTTTAGGGGGGAAAAAAATCCAAAATCCTTCCATGTCAAAAAATAGTGACAGTGCGTCAGTACCCCAAAAGTCACGCTAAGGGAATAATGCCAAGAATAGCTTCTTCTCTTTTCAGGATGTTTTGATAAATTTACCCCACAAGGGATTGAACCTAACACATTGATTTCTGTTTTGTCTGGACGTGGCTAAATAAGCCTAATTTGTCCGGACGTGGCTAAAATAGCCTCAGTTTTGCTTCCCAAACGGTACCTAGGTTGTCTTGGGAAAATAATTAAAAATTGACTTTTTAATTTTTTTTGACTTTCTTTAAAATATATATAAAAAAAAATATGAAAAATAATGTAACATAAAATAGGTTAAAAGGTAAAAGATTGCTTTTACTCATCTTCCCAAAACGAGTCTATATCTTTTCTTGTTCTCCTATCATTTAATATAAAATTATAGGCTCTATTTCTTCCACCAATTACAACACCCTTGAGGCATTACTTGACGAGTGTTCTAAGACTAATCAATAGCCTCTCGTTGCTAAGCCCGGTTTGGTCTTGACTTTTTATTTTTGGTAAATTACATTCACTTTGTGAATGTTTGGGAAATGAATTTTTTTGTAGGTTTTTTTGTTGTAGGATATTATCGGAGAAAAAAAAATTTGTGCTTGGAAAGATAGTTGGATTTTTTTGTGGTTGGATGTGATGTTTGTGAGAGAAAAAGTAAAATGATTATGGGGTTTGATATGATATTTTGTTTGTATTTGTTTTTTTTTTATTTTATAAAACATTTGTCTTGTAGTGAAAAAAATAAAAAAATAAAAAACCCAAAAACTAAGTTGCCAAACACCGCCTTTGTTTGGTTTTTGTTTTTCAAACTTGGGGTTTGTTTGGGGTGTCCTAAATAAGTGCACTTTTTGACTTTTTGGATTAAAAAGTATAGGGAAAAAAGATGATTGTTTGAGATAATTTTTTATCTTTTTGCGAAAAAATGTGTATTAAAATATTGTATAAAATAACAAAATTACATTTTTACCCCTACATATATAAATATGTATTGACAGTGATGATACGTGAAGACAGTACGGTGGCAGCAAGAGATATAAGAAAAACTTGCCTACGGTGCTGTTTACACAGGGTGGTGTTGTTCTGCCCGTGGGGGCTCACCACAGGTCCCGTTTTGATAATCAGAACCGTTCAATGTGTAAAACTCATCAAGTATTATATGCTTTTAGAAAATCACGATGATCAAATATCGATAGCTATCTGATCGAATTAGTTTTTTTGTCAACCGTTACTTTGTGCATCGTTTATTTTTTTGTATAAAACGGATTTGATCATACAGTTATCGATATCCGATCAACGTGATTTTTAATAGACAAATAGTATTCGACGAGTTATACACATTGAACGGTTCAGATTATCAAAAAAAAAGACCTATAATGAGCCCCTACGGGCCAAATAGTACCGTGCTATGTAATTTTTTACAACTCCCTCTTTTCAAACTCACCATCACTTCAGACCATCACTTCAGACCACTGTGTCACGTTCAGCCATGATGTTGGCTTGTACCTTTTTTTGGGAAATTTATATATATATTTTTTAAATAGTCACTTTTTAACTTTTATAATAATTTTTTGACTTTTTTCGAACACTCCAAATCAACCCTTAATTTTTTGAAAATTTTGGAGTTCTTATTTGCTTATTCAAAAAACTAGAGAAGTTTTCAAAATGCCATGGAAGTACCTTTTGATGTGACAAATTTTTTTTTTTAATTGTTATCACTTCAGACCATCACTTCAGACCACTGTGTCACGTTCAGCCATGATGTTGGCTTGTACCTTTTTTTGGGAAATTTATATATATATTTTTTAAATAGTCACTTTTTAACTTTTATAATAATTTTTTGACTTTTTTCGAACACTCCAAACCAACTCTTAATTTTTTGAAAATTTTGGAGTTCTTATTTGCTTATTCAAAAAACTAGAGAAGTTTTCAAAATTCCATGGAAGTACCTTTTGATGTGACAAATTTTTTTTTTAATTGTTTCTCCGCCTATGAAGGGAAATTTTTATTTGCAATTGTAGATTTTTTTTGAAAACCAAATAAATATTCATTTTTAAAATATATTTTCAAATCACTTTTTGAAAAAATAATTCAAAAAAGTGAAATCTAGCATATAGAATATATACATAAAATCCTATGAGAGTACTTTTTGATGTGATAATTTTTTTAAAAATTATCTCTCCACCTGTGGAGGGAAATTTGAATTATAAGAGCATCTCCAATGGTTCATCAAATTTTTCATCAAATTTGAATAAAAAAAAAAGACAATTTCCTCTATTTGATATCGCTTGCTCCAACGGAGAAATTTGGCTTTTTATCAAACTATCAGTCGACTGGCCAATCACCCAGTCAATGCAAAAAAATGAAAAACCTGGTTCTAAAACAATTGGGGTTGTTGTGTTGTGTTATGTTGGGGCTATTCTGAAACAATTCAAAAAACCTCCCTCACTCTATTTCTCTCTTTATAATCCATTTACAGACGAACCATTTTTATCATACTAGCATCAACTCTTTCCTTCTCTCTCTTCACTACATCAAACTTGAGTGAAAATTTATAGAAGTATGAAGAAAGATTCAGTTTTTGTTTATCGATTTCAGATTTAATGGAGTTTCTGCTTCTGGGTTTTTTATTATATATCATTACGGAGACTTATATGTGTTTGTTTGGCTGATTTTTGATTTCTTCTTTAGCTTTGCTACTGAGGTATACTGTCCACCTTTCTCTCTTCCCCTATTTTTTGTTTATTGAGAAAACAAAGAGGTGGTTGACCGAGGGGTCGACCTCCTAGTGTAAAATTTTTATAAAATTTGGCTTAAGGTGGTCATCTGGAAGGATGTCCGGCTGAACGTCTGGTCGATCGTCCAGTGGGTCTACACTCATCGGCT